GCCCCCCCCCCCCCCCCCCCCCACCTGTACGTTCTCTGCCGCCACAGAGTTGCCGGCGAGATACATGGCGCGTCGGAGCGCACCGCTCCTAGCGTTCTTGATGACGTCACTCATGAGTGACTGGTCAGTGAGGAGGGTGAAGCGGTCGGCCGGCTGCCCTTCCGGCTGGGGAATGCGGGACAAGATGAACTCCGGGATTCCGTGCAAGTCCTTCCGGTTCACCTATTGGGGGGAGGGGGGGGGGGCGGACGGGAATGACGTCGTGCCAGGGGTTGGGGGCAGTTGAGGAACGGCCGGATGGGTGGGAGTCTGTTTTATTGCTGTCGGCCAAAATAATTGAACAGAGCACGGGAGAGCATGCAAGATGCCGCATTCTAAACAAATCTCAGCGTGACACGCTCGCGGGGACATCCCCGAAGACTCCGCCGGTTTGTCCAGCGGAACGTGAGGGACGCATGGACGGGAGCATTGTGGATTTTTCTGTCGATCAAACACTTGTGCACACAGTACGTGAAACAAGATGGACCGTGCATTCCTCAAAAGTTCTAAGCTTGATACACGCATGGATCTATCCCAGAGATTGTTGTCGCTGTTTTCCGGTTGAAGTTGAAGGGTGGATGGCGACGGGGAGAGGGTCGTTTACCACTTGAAAAAAAGTCGTGCAAAGACAGTGTGATAATATCAACGACAACGGTGATTAAGAATGGCGACAGGCCTGTGTACATACTTCTATATGTATGTATAAGTATGAATGAATGTATGTATGTATGTATGTATGTATGTAGCACGTTGTTTTGTTGTTGTATCCACCAGCTACAGCAGTATCATAGCATACCTGAAAGGCTGCTCTCTTGGCGAGAATGTTGTGCTCGAACAGCCGCTCGAGCCGCGTAGCCTCGTTCTGGAGGGCCACCACCTCAGCACTGTTCCCCCCACCCACGACAGACAGAGGCAGGCCGGCAGGAAGACAGAGAGAGGGGGGGAACGGAGGGGGAGGGGGCGGGAAGAAGGGAAGGACGGAGGGAGAGAGAGAGAGAGAGAGAGAGAGAGACACACACACAGGGAGAGAGACAGGGAGGGAGGGAGGGAGGGAGGAAGAGAAGGGCGGAGAGAGGCAGACGACGAAACGCGACATCAACCAGACATTACTTTCCGGGTGAGGAGAGCGAAAGAACAAAACCGCTTCGGAGGGAACACAGGGGACAACGGCCTACACACGTGCGCACACGGCAGTAAAAATAATTGTTCAGTACAGTGGTGGGGCTGCAGCTTGTCAGGATGGTTTGGTCCTTCATCGCACAAGGAACGGGCGCCGCGAGCCAGCCGACGACAGCACGAAGGAGTTGCGACCAATAGGCTCTCTCCCCGGCCCGTCCAGCACGCAGATGCAAACGCCTCCCTACTCTTCTCCCCGCGAAACCAGGCACAAGTTTTCCCAACCCAACATGATTTGCTTTTTACGAACAAAGGCGGCAACAAACAGCAAAACCTAGGGCTCCGAACAACTTGAATTCTTCTCCCGGCCAGACCCCGGGCTTCCCATTCTACTCTTTTCTATATGCGTTCCGGCGGACGCTTGTGTTTCCCCTGGCCCTCACCGCTCCTCCCCAGACAGGTGAATGCCTCCCCTCTCGAACTCCGCCATGTGTAGCCCTACGACCCGCCGCTGCTCTCCCGTGAAACCGTCCATCGCGCCCTCTTCTTCGACCACCCCGCACAGCGCGCGGTACAGCGAGTCGTCGGCGTTCAGGTCCTGCCGCCACGCAAACAATGCAAAAAATGTCAAGGCTGCGTTTTCGAGTCGTCATGCAGCAGCCACGGAGAGAACATGTATGTGCGTGTAAAGGGACCGGAGAGGGCTTTTGGTGTGGGTCTGTCGTACGGCACTTTGGTGCACATTCTTTTGCTTTGTGGCGCGCTGTTTTCGATGCTTGCCTCGTTGGCGATCACTGGGGCTGGTGCCTGTTTTGCGGGCGAGTTATACGGAGTATGTCGATGTCATCATGAGAAATACAACAGGAACAGGAAAGCCACAACGCACCTTACAACACACCGGCGGACAGCTACCTATCAGCAGCCAGGGAGAATTGATGTGTCATGAGGGGGTAACATTTCTTTCAGGGGAGGGGATGCAAGGGAAAAACGAGAACAACACCC